GAGAGAGAGAGAGAGAGAGAGAGAGAGAGAGAGAGAGAGAGAGAGAGAGAGCGCGCAAAGGTCTCAAGGCATGACCTGGGAGCAAAGGGGGCGGCAGCCTGAGAAATTAAAATTTGGGGCATTCCCGGTACCGTCGTTGGGTTTGAAATCATTATTCATATAAAAAAGTTACACACGTCAGGCTAGAGAGATTTTTAAAATTAGAAGCTCTCAAACTAGTGCTACACACAGATCTACATGGTTTGTTTAAGTTTCGTTCAAGTAAGCCCGTACGCTGCACGTTGCTAATTCAGGATAAACCAATGGAGAACAAGTAATAAAAACAGGACAGGAGCAAAATCAAGAAATCTTTCTTTCATGCAAACACCTAGTGACAAAGAATATCTATAATCTTACCTTGAGCCACCATTTTCAACAACAAACCGGGCAAAATGAATCTTTTCCTTTCTTTTGATTCCTGAAGAGAAAAAAATCCCAAAACATGGAACGATTTTTATAGAGGTGTGTTTTCAAAAACTGTGTTGCTTGATTGTTATGTGGGTTAATATTGTACTTGTTCCTACATTCGTTGTTTTGGGGAGTTTTTAAGGCTCTCCTTTCATTTGGCTCGGATATAGACGTCAAATTCAGAGGTCACGCCTCTTTTATAACCTTACAGTACAGCATTGAAAGAGGAGTTAAACCAATACTGCGACAACGACGTACATGTGTAGCGTGGGAAGAGACCGATCATTTGCCGAATAGGTTGCCTCGCGTTGTGCTCTCGGGAAATACCTTTCCATTTTTGTTTTGTTTTGGTATGAGTTTTGCAGCATTTGCGAGACAATAAGGACATAATATGAGTGTCAACGATTAGAGGTGTTACAAGTGAGTAACAAACACAAAAAGAAGGAGGGGAGATAAGGACAATAGATTATGTTTAACAGTAAAGAATAAGGAGAAAGTCACACCAGAACACCTGCCAACCACCCACAGAGGAAAACTTTTTCAAGGTGTCTATCAGAGAGAAATTGCTTGAAGGTTGTTGTCAGATTTATAAATGGCATTTACGAAAATCTATTTACTGTGTCCTTAAATTTGATCTAAATTTTCACGTAATATTTTTCAAAGCACAGTAGCCGCACATTCCGCAGAAGCAGACCCCCCAAAAAGGCAACAATAGGCTATCCTGTAAGTTCTACTGAAGCTACGAAATTTCTTACGTATCAACGTCTTTAAGTAACGATTATAGCGCTTCAACGTCGCAAGCTTCGTCTTCGTCGTCGTCGTCGTCATCGTCATCGTCATCGTCATCGTCATCGTCATCATCATCATCATCATCATTTTAGACTGCAAAAATACAAAAAACGGTGGTGGAGACTTGTAAGATTTTCCTAAATTTTTATACGTTCAACGTTTCGCCGTGTTATGGCTTCGTCAGGCATATTTTGAAAAATAATATTAATGACTAGACCAGAGCTACACAACGGTCGACCATCATCATCAACAACAAACGATGACGAAAAAAAAGAACAACAGCATGATAATAAAACGGTACATTAAAAACATAAAATAGCAGTGTGTTTGTCTGACTTTTGACCTGAAGAGTTATAATAGTGCATTGTAAGGCTATAGAAAAAAGTGAGATCGGCTGCTATCTGTTTAAAAAGTGTGAATACAGAGGCAAACGTT